TGATGCCGGAAGTTAGTATGGGTTTCACATTCCACTGACATTTTTCCTGCTCTGCTAAATTATACATGACTAATGAGTTGATTCCATAAAATTAGAGTCCTTAATCCCATAATTGTGAAAATGTTTATATGTGGGTAGGTATGGGCCCTCCTAACCTTAGTGAAAGAAGTGGAGGAGCTTCAGGATCTCAAGGTGTTCTTCAACGAAATTAATCAAGGTACAAAACAGGATATCATGTTGCCTTTTTGCTTAACTTCATTATTGATTTTCCAAAGCATTTTGATCATCACTCAATGCATGAATGCCACATTCTGCATTAACCAAATCATGTATTCTTCTCAATGCAGCCAACTTTTTTTTGTTAGCTTCCTTCAGTGATTATAATTCATACCTTCACCCTCTGTATTTTATCCTACTCAGTGAGATGGTCATGATCTACATCCCTATAAAGCTTCCATCCTACCTTGCTTTCAGCTCATCGGTTAACCCCTTCTACTTCTTAGAATACAGTTACTCATATCCAACAGATGTTTTTGACTTTCTGTCACTGTGGTCAAATCTGATGGCCTCTGGGTACAAAGTGGGCATTTTGGAAGCCCACCCACAAGGCATGGGTGTAACGGTGAAGACACAAGGTATTATCTGGGTGTTCTCTACTGCTATGGTAAGTCTAGGATACTTATTCTAGTTAGTGTGCTTTTGGCAACTATCATATAATTGAGTTTTAATGGATACAATAAGAAAATAGTATAAAACTATTTGTTGGCTTTGACATAAAATAATAAATAAATAATAATCAAACAAGGTAAATTACTAAAAAGGGTTTCCACCTTTCCAGGACGCTTTGAATGCTGTCTCAGGATGCAGCAATAATTGTGATACTACATATCAACTATCTCGCTTGATCGAAGACTTTGCAGCCACAATCCGCCATTCTTAAATAGTACTTAAACCCATATTTTATCTAGGTTTAAGGATAAAACAGTTATTTTAGCAAAGGCTTACTGCATTCATATTGTTTTGTTGCAAACTCTTCCTAAAGAGAGAAAGTGACTGATTGAATTAATAATGGCAATAAGCAGAGCCACTCTAATTGATGGTGTTATCCAGACTTTAACTATGAATCTCACAAAACATATTTACTACTGTAGTCATTCCTTTTATACAGAGATGCAGAGTGCTGATGAAGCTATTGTATCAGTGGCATTCACAAGGCTTGTGTTCTACCAGTGGATATGCCTTAATAAACATTATAAGTCAATATAGGTTTTCTTTCTCAACAGACTTAAAGATTGATTAGACATGGAGTAAATAACCAAAGTGAATTCTATAGTGCAGGGGTTATATTAGTCCTCGGCCATATAAGAAACAATGATGTTATCTCCAATTGTGGACACTTGTCTGAGAATTCTAAAGATAAGGAAAATTTGTTGGATTTACAGTCCATTAAATACAGTTTGGAATGTTTAAAGATTATCAATAATTATATGATAGTGCCAAAGGCCTTCTTGCAGTACCGTTCCTTCATGCCAGTTGTCAGTGTCAGTAGGTTTTGCACTGACAGTAAGAAATTGAGAAAATAAGCTTGCAGTGAAAGACCTTAGTATAATTTTGTTTACACCAAAAGTATGTCCAATTATAAAGAAAAATATCCCCATTGGGAAAAAGAAAAAATATCAAGATTTTTTTAACTGTATTTTTTTGCACATTATAGCAACAATTAATTACAACAAAACATTGTTCTTCAGCTTGAAAACATCACAGGAAGTTTACTGGTCATGGATATTTTACTCAGCTGCAGGAATGCAATGAATTCTTTTGAAGGTCAAAAGGGTAAAGCAACACTAAGACTGGTGAACCTGAAGTGCTATGATTTGAAACATTTCTCTATCTTTCAAAATCTCATACACATATATCATTAATTTATAATAAAAGTATAAAAGTAATCATAATTTGCCTATTCCTTGACATTTTAAGTGTTAATGGTATTGATTTTCTTTGCAAACAAATGAGTGCATACATTTTTTTTTCTATATTACCATTTCTTATTTAGCCAAATATACCAATAAAAAACAAGAGTTTTCCCCAACCTATTTACCATAAACTCTGCTAACATCCATAGTTTGAGTTTGGAAAATATCAAAATAGTTTCTGGATTTTAGCTTCAAATCTAATTTACTACTCACATATACCATTCCATTCACTCCACCTGTTGTGCTGGTTTAAAAACTTCTACAGTGGATCACAATATTGCATTCCTTCTTTCAAAACATTTGCAAAAGTAATAAAATCAATGATCTCCTCCCTACACTTTGTAGAATATTTAAATAAGAATACTTACTTACACTACCTGCTTTGGACGTTGCATGTCAATCTCTATTACAAGAAAATAACAGTATATATTGTCAATGCAAAAGCTATGTGTTCCATTTACCTTCCACTTATGTAACTTTTCTTTTTGTAATGCGATTCTATTTTTCACAAAAAATCCAGTATAAGACAAAAAGGATTCTCACATTTTTCATTAATCTCATAAACTTGAAAAGCATAAATCACTCCCCAAGTCTTGGTGCACATTTATTGAGATTCTTTTCACAAATAGGAATATGGTAGCATCTGAGGGATGATATCCTTTACATAAAGGATGAGCTTGAAACTAAAGATATTTACCTGACATAATCAGACTAGATATGTAAGCAAGTATTTAATTACTGGCACAATGTTAGCTGCATTATTGTTACAACCACTACTAAAAAATACAAAGAACTGATATGGCACTCTGAAGCAACATCTTTTTTCATTATAGTAGTAAGAAATGCAACAGAAGAAATGAGATATAATATCATCCAGTATACAGGGCTCATAAGCCAGAGTTTACCCGTTAACCTTCATTTGCGCATCTTATCGAATCTGTTGCCGATCTTACTTGTACATGATGTTCAAAGGACGAGAGATAATCCCTGCATGAAATCCATCACCCTTCTCACATCATTTATTCTTGGTTGCTTGAGTCTTACATATACTTTTGGAGGTCTTTTTCAATGGCTGGCTGTGGGGGGGAAAAAGGAGAGAAATGTCAATATTCTACTTACATTCATGAACTTATGATATGTAAATCAGAAGTTTGCAATTCAACTTTTTTACACACTCTCGATCCTATCAAAAATTTTCTCCCACCATCTCCTCACACACACAAAATAAATAATTTTGATAATGTGCTTTAAATGAAAAAGTTTCCTAAACGTTAACATACATCTACTCTCCAAAACAAAGCTTATGTTTTCACAGAAAACAGAAGAACACATCAACTTACAATTGGATTTGTTTGTGGTGAATAGCGAGCTACTGGGTTTCCTTCTTTGTCGACAAGGAATTTGGTGAAGTTCCACTTGATAAAATTGCCGAGGGTGCCCCCTTGTTTCGACTTCAGGAACTTCCACAATGGGTGGGCATCATCCCCATTCACCTTGATCTTGGAAAACATGTCGAATTTTACTCCATACCCTTCAGCGAACTTCTTGATTTCAGCCTCAGTACCGGGCTCCTTTGTTGTGATGAAAAAAAAAGAAAGAAGAAAATTAATGATACATAAACCTTAATTAATAACATCACGAGGATATTTTACAAAAAAAAATAATAATAATAAAAATAAAGGTAGTATGGTAATAGTAATAAAAATACAATAATAATGATAAATCAATAATAACAATAATAACAATGACATTAATATAATAATATAATGATGATGTGTTAACAAAAATATTTAATAATAATAATGGCATATCAATCAAAATCTCGACATTATACATCTGTATCACACTTGTGACTTTCTTTACATTGTGCTGTCGATCTATGCAGCAAATATGATGTACAGAAAAAAATCTAACTGTACTTTTTTTCTTATTGAGATTGTACAAAAAAATAAATTCACATATAAAATCAAGTATATTACATCCTTGTCCTTTGCCATGAAATACATTTCCAAATTTTAAAGGAAAGTGAAGGATGTTTTTCATTGTGAATTACTATATCATGCAAGAAAATTATGAGTTTTGCATTTAAGTGCACATGTCACTGTGACTTTCTTGAGAGAGAACATAAGTATCACTGCTTTAGATATCAAAACGGACAAACAAATTCAGTAAAGCTCATTATATGATATATTTGTAAACACATCATTTAAGTCACTACTGCTGATATTCACAGAACACACAAAGTGGCACAGTTAAAAACTATGCTAACAACAAAGTGGCACAGTTAACAACTATGCCAACAACACCAATATCATGTACAAATACCTGGCCTCCAAATTGGTTGCAGGGGAAGGCAAGGATGCGCAGGCCATTGGCTTCATATTTCTCGTGAAGCTGCACCAACTCGGTGTAGTTCACGCTGGTCAAGCCTCACTTGCTGGCCACATTGACTACAATGCAAGGATTGCCCCTGAAAATATGAAAGAAATTAGTCCCTGTCACTGCTAAGGTGAAGACTAAATTACTGATTATAACATTTCATGATGCTTTATATCACACCGCAAAAAATTATAGAACATCTGAAACTGCTTCTTAAAACTTACTTATACTTTTCCATTGAAACTTCATTGCCATCGATATCAACAGCACTGAAGCTGTAGAAGGCTGACTCTGAAGCCTATTAAGAAAGACTAATTAATTTCTTCTTCAAAAAAGTAAAGCTTCACAATAATATAGAAGTCTGCTATCAATCTTTGAAGTATATAAAAAGATAAAAAAAATAAAAATACTACAATAAGCCAAATGAAATGTCTACTCACCATGACTAGACTTCTTGAGAAAGATGCCAAGCTGGCACCTCCACCTACGGCTAACAAACTCTGAGCTGGAAAAGAGTAAGAGCTTGTTACACCCAGTATGTTATATTTTCTTTGGGGTTGCCACTTTCAGTTTGACATATCAATCACATGAACAATTACCATACACTAGACAATCCTCTTCACTCAAGTACCTATTGTCTGATAAATCTCTTGTCCAAGGTTAGTAGATATATCAGTAAGTTATATGTTCACTATCTGATAACACTACCATAATCATACCAATATAATGTTAGTAAATATTTTTTGTCCATATTCACAAGAACAGGGCTTGAGCATATACAATCCAAATGAGTCTTAATATTTCTCATTCATGAAGTTTCAAATCAACTCAAAACTAAAAATGTCTCAGAATATCTATGTACACAATAAAAAATTCCTCACCTTTCCAAATGAAAAACCACTTCTAAAACTAAGTTCCTTATTTAGATTGAAGCTTCATAAAATTTAGTCACCATGCAATGTAATTAAAAGGCATACCCAAGAATGACACTCCTGGTAAATATCAAATCTCAAAATTCTTAAACCAAACCAATTCCCAGCACTCAAAATGACCATGTCATCTCAAATTGAAAAGCAAATTGAACTGATGCTTATCACAGGTTATATGCCCAAAACATGCATATTTTGGGTTAGTACATATCAATAAAATAAACCCACAAATAATTCATGATCTTTGTTAATGCATTTAAACTTGTGATTCTATAGAAAAAGTATATTTTTGCTTACACCTTAGAGTACAAGATGGAGAGAGTAAGTGTGTAGTGTGCTCAACTCCCCCTCCTTCAGCATACTGACTAAGTGATATCTGCCACCCTCCTAAGACTCCAGTTGCCAACTCAACCAAAAACTTTGATTTCCCTCATGTGGCTATTCAATGATATTCAAATCATTCATATTGTACTCAAATTTTGTGAATAATTCACTTCATATGTATTTTTCAATCATATTTCCTACTTCAGATAAAGAAAAGCTCAATACAAAATACCAAAGAAAAAATCAGTCAAATATACAAAATCTGCAAAGGTCATGAGTAGTCCCTGATGTGTTCTATGACAGAATCATATTGAATTCTTTTGGGGGGATCTTCAGTCCAATGCTTTCACTTTTTCCTTTCACATTCATGAGAAAACATAAATGGGATTCATTTACTTTTCCCCACCTCCCTTTTGTTTTTTTAGATGGCCTGTATTTCTACTGGATAAACATCAGTTTAACAGAAAATTACATGTCATGAGTATAACAAGTGAGAATCAGGAAAAAAGGAGAAAATTCAGTTTTGTGTTTTTGTACATCAAAAAAATATTTGTTTACTAAGAGGATCAGAGTAAAGAGACTTTATCAATACCAAAATGCCAGATAGGTAAAATCAAGTGTGTAAGAAAAATGGGTTATGGCGACAAGGTTGCCAATTTTATTAGCCTTATAGTTCAAACATCTAAAGTCAATACATTTGCAATCCTTTTCTAACATGAATCCAAGGATTTAACTGCTCAGTTACAGATAGCAATAGCAACAAAAAAAATATATATTTTATAGTCATGGGCAGAAATATTACATTCCAAAAAGCATAAAACTTTAATGGAATGCAACTTAACCGAGCATTACCTTTGTATCAATTTTCTAACGATGTCAATATCACTGGCACTTACAAAATACAATTTGTACAAGTTCAGTGAATATCTATCTCACATAACCCTATCTTTACGTGTGGTTGTCGGCCTCTCATCTGTATACATCAATGGATATCATAGGAAAAATACTGGTGCTATTACATAAAATTTATCTATTACTATTGTCATCTATATTTCATTTGTCTTTTTACCTTTCCTCCAATTCTGACATGCACCATTAAATCGTCAAATATATTTAGCAATTATTCATACATTTAAAATCATTTGATACATCATTACCATTGATTACAAGAGCTTGGACTATTTCTTACTTGACACTAAATAATCTAGGCAGCATCTACATCTACTGTGGAGGTTTGCAGACCACTGCCAGAGACCATGGCATCACTTGATGTGCAAATCTACAGGCTAGGATAGCAATGAAGCTTATCTTTACTGTCAGCTGATTCTTGCTTGAAGCATTACTGTTTTATGTTGCTGTTTTTTTACTGTTAATACCGTTTTCCCTATCTGTGTAGTCCTACTGTAATAAAAATGGTAATTGTTTATAAACTGTCCTGAGACTAAAGCCCTATCACTCCAGCCAAAAACCTTGGAGGTACTTCTGGGTATCTACAAGAATTGCCATAAGAACCAAAAACTTTCCTCATGTGAGGGCTTTATCCCTAGACTCCCACCAAATCACTGTGGACTATGTAGCATATATTGTAACCTTTTTTCATAATTTTTTGCATTATTTTTTGGCAGATTACTTTATATATCAGTGTGTAGTTTTTCTTCTTTGCTCTATAAGAAAGTTCTTTAGTTTTCCCAATCTTAGTATGATCATTTAATATAAATATGCCTAAATAACATCCAGTACATCTTTAAAGTATGGAATTACTCACAAGAGATTAACGGCTGGTTTGTTAAATTTGTGCAATGCCCAACCTAATGAATATTCATTATAAAGAAATACATATACACAGAAATAATACATAACCATCAGTCTAGACATGGATACCTACTGGATAGATT